AATAATATAAATATTATGAAAACAGAGATCTTCTAATTCTAATTTCGGGACTGATGCAAAATAAAAACTGCGCTGTCATTGCGATTTTTGAAGATAGGCGCTATTCTAACATTTTTTTTAGTATATTGCTTATTTTTTAATATTTAAAATAATAGAGGAGAATTTTAGACTCACAAGGAGAGGCTACGCTTTGCTTTTCACCGATTTTGACCAAACTTGCAGCAATGTTAGGAGCCTACCAAATGAACACCTGTAAAGCCGTTCTCGCTAATGGGACTTAGAAGCCAAATAATGAGCATTTAAAAATATACCAAAAAATCTGAAAACAGTCTAATATCTCGGAAAGTATGCATTTAAAAAAAAATGTCTTAGACAAAATTGGTAGGATTTAATAAGATGTATTTACTGGCTTTATTAGTTTGACCTTGGGATGCATCGTCAACCTTGACTTGATCTTAGCGATGCTAAGTAAAAAACCCTTACTGAAGTAAAAAACCCATAAATAGTACAGACAATAATAACATAAAATAATAGATATTCCAAGCTATCGGAAACCGTGTATCGATATGATTAAAATCTGTTATTTCACGTTTCTATGTCATACTTCACACACACACATTCACACACACACACACACACACACACACACACACACATTCACACACACACGCGCGCGCGCGTAAACATTAAATAAACGTATAAAAAATGTTTTTTAAACCATTATTTCAAATAAGAAATAAATTTAAAATTAACATTAAATAAACGTTAAATAAACGTTTAAACAATGTTTTTTCAATCAAATTTATTTTAAACAAAAAATTATATTGCAAAATAATGTTTAATAAACGTTAAATTAATGAATTTTACAAATCATGAAAAATGTAAAATTAATAAAAAATAAACGTTTAAAAAACATTTTAAAAACATTTTTTGATTGGGAATGTATTCACATATATGTATATATACGTATTTTTTAAAATAAAATTGAATAAATCATTAAAATAATGATTTTCTATGACAATTTATTCAATTTTATTTAAAAAATGAATACGTAAATACATTATTTTATTCTTAATTCCGTACAAAAGCGAACTTTTAGAAAATGAAATAAAGAAAACACTGTTCTTTTATTCTCCGACAAAAATATATATGTTTATATAAATTAATACACTATTTATTTATAAAACATATATATTTTATTTTACATTTTTTATATATTTTTTAATTCACACTGTGTAATATTTTATTATGAAACATTATATATACAGAAATAAAATAAATAAATAAAATATATATGTTTCACCAGAAACGTTTCTTATTGATGCTTAACGGTTATAAAACATTAGATATGTTTAAGAAACGTATATAAAACATACGCGTGCCTGGGATGCATTTAAGCAATTTACCCGGGGATTGGAAATTAGGTTGTGCGATGATTGAACATGATCAAAAGGAAAGAATGGATAATAATTTGTAGGAGAAATTTAAATTCCGGCCTCGCAAAGGTTACGAAGGTTATATGGGAGCTCACCGATAGGAGCGAACCGGTTTTAAATGAAATTGAAATTGATCCAATAAGTTAATACTGTCATTTATAAAATTTGTAAAAGAAAACAATAGTAATTGTGTGTGTGTGTGTGTGTGTGTGTGTGTGTGTGTGTATCGGAAGGAACCGGAAAAATTGCTCAATACAAGAATGTATATTGTTAGAAGGATGTTTATACTCAGTATTTTAGTATTTATAATATGTTGACTTCAATTTAAAAAATTACATTACAGTAATGAATTCGCCTTAAGTGCGCATAATTCCTCCACTTTTCCTTATGTAATTAGTCTAAAAAGATTATAGTTTTTGTTTATTTGTACATTACTTGCTTCTGGCAATGTATTTTCATGATCTAAATAAGTAAATTACAAATTCTTATTATATAATAATCAAGCTTATCCAGAATTCTTTTATCAAAATTTGGTTAAAATATATTAGAAACTAAAACCGTAATAAAAAAATCTAATGATAATTTTATCATATATTCGAAGTACGAGCTTTTGATTGCGACTAGTCTGATAAAAATCGATACGCTCAATCTTGAAATCTCGAGATTTCTTAATCTTAACCCAAAAAGATTATTTGCGTTATTTTCCAAGTTTTGGACTCACGCGTACATGTATACGTAAAGTCAGTTTGTCATTCAAGGGACTTTTACAATGTCTACATATGTATAATATTACAAAAAAATTATATAATGTAAGTGAATATTAAGCACACAGTTTAATATTTAAAAATATATAATATCCTAAAATATAATCGTCGTCTATACTTGTTCAACGTCATCTGGTGTCGACGCCGACCGACGCCAACCAATGCGATGTCCAAAATTAATTAAATTGCGGACAATACTTACCCGAAATTCACGCGTATCCTCTTATAGAATCCAGCCTCTCAATTACAATACATTGAAAAAAATGCATGTTTTTAACGCAATAGCATAAATTTTTTAAAAGTATTGAGGATCAATCGATAATATATATACAATGTTCAAGTAATTATAATGTAAACAGATATTTATTATTATTATACAGACATTTATGTTTATATAGATAAAATATAAGAAATTGAATTTTATTGCATAAGATAAATTAACATAAAATTACCAGCGGATTCCTTATCGAAGTTGAAGTCATTAAAAAAATTGTAATATATAGTCTTAAATACTCCAACAAATATTCCGTTATTTTAAAAAGGATTTACTTGCATTTATCAGTTGTTATATTTTATTTGTTATGTACTCATATTTACTTTGCATATTCACCTAAAATCACCTAAATCTCATCAATAGATTTCTGTTTTTATAAAGAAAAATTTCAATATGATTGCAAAAAGAAAGTCAATAAGTGTGTCTAAAATTTCCGTGAATTTTCTACATTACTTCTACCTAGCTAACATTTTGATAGAAACATTTTCAGAGTTGTCTCATGAACATACAATAGGAGATCGCCGTTTGAAGTATCTTAAAAGATAAACGTTCTTTATACTTTTCGTCATTATGATTTCTGAATATCGATTTATATTATGGTATATTTTTCCTTACCATTCCAAAATTCTGCAAAGACATCACATAAAACTTACATGCAGTTAAGATAAGCGGGTGGAAGCGTCGTTTCATTATTAACAATAATAATTTCTGCTCTGAAGCACTTGCACTGTACCACACAGAATTGTACCTGTACGAAATCAAATATCTTATTTCATTTTAGAAACAAATGTTATTTAAATGATTACTGTAATAATGTAGTAAATAATAATATATAAATGAAATTAGAGAGAGATTGAATTTATCTTAAGCATTATGTTGAATTTGTCTGAAAGTTAAGTATTAATAGAAGGACATTAACATTAACATTATTTTTAATGATTTTTTAAAATAATAAACGTTATTTAAATAATATTATTATATAACTTTAGAATAATATTATAATAATATTTATTTTTGTTTTTGTAAACATCTGACGATACTTTTATAATTACTTAGTACACATTTTTAAATAAATAAAGCATTGTACAAAGAGAAATATGGAGAACGAGAGCTTTCTCTTTTATTC